TCCTCCCGCTTTTCCTCTTCCCCCCTCCTCCCCATTCCCTCTTTCTTCCTCTGCCTCCTCCTCTTCCTCCTCCTCCTCTTCCTCCTCTCTTCCTCCACCCCTTTTCCTGCATCAGTAATCTCATCTTGTCACACCACCAAGCGCGTCAACATGGCTGTTCGGGCGTTCGCTGTGCATGTCCTCGCGATCGATGGCCTTGAAGTTTGACGTTTGAGCCAACGGCGATGTTTTTGAAAGTTCGCAGCAGCTTCGCGGACTGAGGGCGGTTTCTGTTAAGCGTGTGGGTCTCGCGTTAACACCGCACAAACTCGGTAACAAACACGCGCGTCATTTTTTCAATGTGAGGGTATATCATTCCCAACCATCCTGTGGTGTTGGGTCCTCGTTTTGAAGAGACGGTGCCCCGCGTTCTCCTTCCTTCATTCCTTCCTTCCTTCCTCCCGCTGCCTCCTCCCCCCTCCCATCATCATCATCATCATCATCATCATCATCATCATCATCATCATCATCATCATCATCATCATCATCATCATCATCATCATCAACACCCATTTCGGCACACCCCTCACGCGTTTCGTGGCTCCATAGGGAGCTCCACCGAAGGCCCCAGTGCCCGCGGCCGCATGCGTCCCCCACACCCATTTCGGCACACCCCTCACACGTTTCGTGGCTCCATAGGGAGCTCCACCGAAGGCCCCAGTGCCCGGCCCCGCATGCGTCCCCACACCCATTTCGGCACACCCCTCACACGTTTCGTGGCTCCATAGGGAGCTCCACCGAAGGCCCCAGTGCCCGCGGCCCGCATGCGTCCCCCACACCCATTTCGGCACACCCCTCACACGTTTCGTGGCTCCATAGGGAGCTCCACCGAAGGCCCCAGTGCCCGCGGCCGCATGCGTCCCCCACACCCATTTCGGCACACCCCCTCACACGTTTCGTGGCTCCATAGGGAGCTCCACCGAAGGCCCCAGTGCCCGCGGCCCGCATGCGTCACCCACACCCATTTCGGCACACCCCTCACACGTTTCGTGGCTCCATAGGGAGCTCCACCGAAGGCCCCAGTGCCCGCGGCCGCATGCGTCACCCACACCCATTTCGGCACACCCCTCACACGTTTCGTGGCTCCATAGGGAGCTCCACCGAAGGCCCCAGTGCCCGCGGCCGCATGCGTCCCCACACCCATTTCGGCACACCCCTCACACGCTTCGTGGCTCCATAGGGAGCTCCACCGAAGGCCCCAGTGCCCGCGGCCGCATGCGTCACCCACACCCATTTCGGCAACCCCTCACACGTTTCGTGACTCCATAGGGAGCTCCACCGAAGGCCCCAGTGCCCGCGGCCCGCATGCGTCCCCACACCCTTTCGGCAAACCCCTAACACGTTTCGTGGACTCCATAGGGAGCTCCACCGAAGTAGGCACCAGTGCCCGCGGGGCCGCAAAGCACCGCAAAAACGCGTCCCCCACACACCCATTCGGCACAACCTCACACCCGTTTCTCACGTGGCTCCATAGGGAGCTCCACCGAAGGCCCCAGTGCCCGCGGCCGCATGCGTCCCCCACACCCATTTCGGCACACCCCTCACACGTTTCGGGGCTCCATAGGGAGCTCCACCGAAGGCCCCAGTGCCCGCGGCCGCATGCGTCCCCCACACCCATGTCGGCACACCCCTCACACGTTTCGTGGCTCCATAGGGAGCTCCACCGAAGGCCCCAGTGCCCGCGGCCGCATGCGTCCCCCACACCCATTTCGGCACACCCCTCACACGCTTCGTGGCTCCATAGGGAGCTCCACCGAAGACCCCAGTGCCCGCGGCCGCATGCGTCCCCCACACCCATTTCGGCACAACCCTCACACGTTTCGTGGCTCCATAGGGAGCTCCACCGAAGGCCCCAGTGCCCGCCGCCCGCATGCGTCACCCCCACCCATTTCGGCACCCCCCCCGCGTTTCTCGCACGGCAGGGTCATCACCACGGTGGCGTGCCAGGGACGCACCGTGCGCGAAGGCGACGGGGCGGGGGAACGGCGCTCCGGGGGCGGTCAGACCTCCGGGGCGCGAGCAGTCCGCGGCCAGACCATCTCTCGGTCCTGTGGACTCTCGCCCTGGGCCGTCGGCTGCCCGGCGCGCTGCTCCCTCGGTCGACGTCGCCCAGGCGTGATCCTGGATTGCGGCCGCCACGAGGTAGGGAACGGCAAGAAGGAGGACGACGACTGGTGGCTGGAGCTCTACGTGCTGCTCTCGCGCGCCACGCGCCACGAGGACCTCCTGCTCATGCGGGCGCCGCGCATCGAGTTCTTCCTGGCAGGGCCGTCGCAGGGCTTGCGGAAGCAGCTGGAGCAGTTTGCGGCGCGCACGAAGCGGTGCAGGAGGGAAGCGACGGCCCTCGCCAGGGAGCTCGGCTTCACCGAGTTCATCCGCGAGGCCTGACCTGAGGAGCGTCTCCCCCGAGCCGCGCCTTCTCTCGACTGCCCGACTAATTGTTTGGCCTCGCGCCGCGGACGACCCGCGCGCGTCGCTGGGACCCTCTCGGGGCGACCAGCGCGCGTCGCGGGAACTCCGTGCTGCGGGGGGCCCGGCGCCTCGTTCGCCCGTCGTCGCTCTGCCCGGCGGTCAGAGACTTGCCCGCTATCAGCCAGCCAGTTAGCTAGTCAGCTCTCTCTGCTTCGCGCAGCGGACGACCCGCGCGCGTCGCTGGGGCCCCGCCCGGGGCGACCAGCGCGCGTCGCGGGGACTCCGCGCTGCGCTGCGCCCGCAGCCTTGGATTTTGGAGTGCGCGGGCGAAGAGGAAGGAAAAGAAGAGCCGAAAGCGGGCGCGATCCTCGCAAGAGGCGTGCCGATGTGGGCGTCGCGACGTGCGGACGCCGCCGTCGGGGTTCCCGCGGAAGCTGCCTGCGGCGGCCACGCCCAGTGTCACGTGTGTTCGGACAGGCATGCTCGACACTTACACTAGGCGGCTCCATGATCGCATTCATGCAAATATATTCACTCGCGCGCAGACCCATTCATACTCAGATTCCCTCGCGCTCTGACTCACCCGCGTTCTTTCTCTCGTAATCAGATTATCGTATTCCTTTGCGTTGTGTACCCCGCCACATTTCGGCACACCCCTCATGCGGTTCGTGGCCCCATAGGGAGCGCCACCGAAGAAGATACTCACAATTGCGATACTCACAACTGCATATGGTTGGGTCCTTCGCCAGGATAATGTTTTAAAAGACGTGTGTTTTCGCTTCAGCGTCGCGCGCATCCGCCTTGCATGTAACAGCTTCACGGATGGATGTGGGATGGTGTTCAACATGTGGCTCTCGCTTCAGCGTCGCGCGCATTTGCCTTAAACGCGACAGTTTCAGCAAGGCGGGGTGGTGGTTTTCGACATGCGACGGTCACTTCAGAGCCACGGACATTTCATTTTACAGAGTGAAACAGCGTCACGGATGGAGAAGGGGCTGTCTGGAATATGTGGTTATCACTTCAGTGCCGCGCACACTTCTACAAACGATTGCAACCGTTACACACACGTATGTGTATATACATATATATATATGTATGTTAATTTATATATATATATATATATATATATTATATATATATATATAATATATATTATATATATCGGAGGTTGGGGGTGAATCCGACGTGAAACGGAGACCCCCCCTACCGGGACATCGATTTTGGTTTCGGGTTCGTGTCGTGCGTGCCGTGCGCGCGTGCGGGCGAGGCGAAGCTGCGTGGGCGGGCGAAAGTAAATCCTCCTGTGGCTGGGCCGCGGCCGGACCAAATGTTTCTTCTCCGACGGCCGGTGGCCCGCGGTGTCCCGCCGGTGTCCCGCTGGTGTCCCGAAATCCTCTTCTGGCTGGGCCGCGGCCGGACCAAATGATGCTCCTCCCGTCAAACGGTGGCCCGCGGTGTCCCGCTGGTGTCCCGCCGGTGTCCCGCCGTGGGGTGTGCATTTCACGCCCACGCGGGCGCCGCTGGCACCAAGCTTTGCTCGTGCCTCGAGCGCCGGACCTGCAACCAAGGTAGCATCGGGTGGCGCCGCGAGCAGTTACTGTGGCACCGCAGCGCGCACGTTCGACCACGTCGGCTAGCGCTGAAGTGAGGTTCGCGCGATTGATAGGCGCACGCGGGAGAGCGCTTCACGACAATGTCGAGCGCGCTTCGCCAACATCGCCACATCAAATCACGCTCACGTGCGCAATCACACTACTCACTAGACTCCGCCCACAAGCATCGTCAGAAGAACAATCACCACTTTTGCCCACTGCTGCCCCCCCAACTTCCTTATCACCCGCAGGGTGGTCGTATAGGTATACATTCATATATATATATATATATATATATATATATGTATGTATGTATGTACGTGTGTATATATAAAAGTGGCGTTGTCGTCTGAGCTTGGCGACTGTTTGTTAACGATAAATGTATTGGCTGGGATGGTGGGCATCTCCTTTCGAACTGTGGCCCTCGTCTTGGCGCCGCGCGCACTCTTTCTTGTGTGCAACGCCTGGCAAAATTAGAATGTCGAGAGGTAGCTTCCGCATGAGACTTTGATTCGTTTAAGGACCTGGAACTTCAACGCACGTAGTATTGCACGGATCCACGGCGTTTCTTTCTGGTTGAACCTTTGGATCATTGTTCTATCGCTTTCGTGACTAAACGCAAGAAGATGCAAGGCAGCTGTTTCTCAAAGTTTGATCTTCGCCAGAGTGACATGCCCAATTGTGCTGGTCTTTCATGGGGGCATTTCGCGGCGAGACGGAGGGCCTGTTGGGGCGTATGAGGAGGGGACTCGGAACGGGAGGATGTATTGCACGATAGGTTTTTCTCACTCCCCTTGCTTCTCCTCCTCCTCCTGCTTGATATCCTCCTCCTCCTCCTCCTCCTCCTCCTCCTCCCCTTCCTCCTCCTCCTCCTCCTCCTCCTTCCTCCTCCCCCTGTGACCTGCGCGGGCCCCCCGACGGCGGTTTCCACCAGCGGTGCCTCCCCCGTTCCTCGAGGCGTGGACTACGTGCCCAGCTCCGGCACGCTGGTCTTCCCGGACCGCGAGGACAGCCGCTGCCTCCAGGCGGCCGGCCGCCCCCGCCCCGAGGTAAGGGCGGGCAGGCGGAAGAGCGCGGGGGCAGAGGAGCCGCGAGGGTGTGTGGTGGGGGGGGGGGGAGGAGGGCGCGGGTGGGGGGGAGGGAACGCGGGAGCGCGTGAGCGGGCGAGGGGTGGGGAGGAAAAGGAGGGGGGACCGCGGGAGCGTGGAAGGGGGCAGGTGGAGGAGGAGAGGGGGGGGAGAGGGCGGGGGGGGGGCAATGTCAGGGGCCCCCAACGGGCCGCCGCATCGAGAGGAATTGGCCGATCCGCCGGCGGGGCGCGGTCACCCCCCCGCCCTCCTCGGGTGGAACGTTGGCGCGCCTTGATGATGATGATGATGATGATGATGAGGAGGAGGAGGAGGAGGAGGAGGAGGACGAGGAGGAGGATGAGGAGGAGGAGGATGCGGACGGGAGGAGGGAGGATGGGAGGAGATCAGGAGGAGGAAAGAGTGGAGGAGGAGAAGAGGTAGGAGGAGGAAGAGGAGGAGGATGAGGAGGAAAAGGAGTGAGGAGGAGGCGGAGGAGGAGGAGGAGGTCAGGAGGAGGAAGGGGAGGAACAGGGGGAGTTTAGGATGAGGCACGTAAGGTATGAGATGCGTAGGATGAGGTATTAGGCTTTTGAGGTAGGAGGAGGAAGGACGAGGAGCAGAGCAAGCAGGAGCAGGATGTGGAGGTGGAGGAGGAGGAAGAGGAGGAGGAGGCGGAGGAGGAGAAGGAGGAGGAAGAGGAGGAGGTGTAGGAGGAGGAGGAGGAGGACGAGGACGAGGAGGAAGAGGAGGAGGAAGAGGAGGAGGAGGAGGAGGAGGAGGAAGAGGACGAGGAGGACCAGTGTAACCCCAAGACGCACCAACGATGTTGCGACACACCCTCCTTCCAAGTTTCCAGTTACATAGGCCCTGCAATAATGTGTTGCCTACGGGAAGTCCTGCCACCGTGCCTAGATTGTGGGTTACAGGGCTAGTAGATGTTCGTTAGAATCTCGTGGGGGGCCTCTCGGGGGCCTCTGAGAGGCAGAGAGGCAGTTTCGTAGCCTCCTGGGGTCTGTTTTGATGCCTCTTGGGGGCTTGGGGGCTTTTTGTGGGCCTCCACCTCGTGGTGCCTCCTGGGGGCTCCTTGGGGAGAAGGCTCGGCTCTTCAGTCTGTGCCTGTGCCCCCTCCCTGGGGCCCCTTTAAGGCTGTCTTCGGGCCCTCTTAGGCCGTATTGGGCGCCTCTTGGGTTGTCTTGGGGCGTTCTTAGGCCGTCTGAGGGCCCGCTTGGAGGCCTCGTGGTGCGTTTTTGTATGGTTCTTTGGGCCTCTTGGGCCGTCGTGGAGCGTCGGAAAGCCGAAAAGGCGACAACGCCCAAATCCTTCAACAATGCGAGGACAAACAATGTTTTTTGCCTTCAGGGGCCCTCTTGGGAGGCCTCTTTGATGCTTCTTTGGGCGCCTTGGAAGCTTGTTGCGCCATCTTGAGGCCATCTTGGGCGTCTTCGAGCGATCGTTCGGCGACTCGGGGCCCTCTTGGGCCGTCTTGGGGGCTTCCTGGGCCGTCATGGAAGCCTTGGGGAGCCCCAGGGAGACGCCATGGCCGCCGCCCAGGGACCCCCGGGAGCAGGGCGAGTTCGCGCGGCGAGGTGCGGCCCGGTGGGGGGGCCCGTTAGAAGATTACAACAACCCTGCCAGAACGCCTTTGGCATTCTACCACACCCCAACGTGCCAGGGCGCACGGCGGCGCACTTGCATTGCAGCAGTGACCCATTGGACGATAAGCCCCTGATAATCCCCGACCGTGCCAAAGAACAATTCCTGGGACTTCGGCGTCGCAAGCCAAAGAGACCGTTGCGTCCTAGAACGCCGCTCCTGGGGCCAGATCGACGTGTTTGTCGTTGCTGACAATCTGAAATCTGGCCAGAACACACCATTCCTGGGACTTCAACCAATGGAGTTCTTGAACCGGTTGTACATCTTTAGAGCGAATTTGTGCGGCGCTAAGGCGGGAACCACGTTTTGACCAAGAGCCGCCCTTCATCTGTCAAACGGTTGTACATTTTGCAGACGGATGTGCGTGGCTCTAAGGCGAGAGCAATATTTTGAAAATGACCCGCCCTCCATCCGTGAAGCTGTTGCAATGTTTCCAGATGAATGTGCGCGGCGCTACTGCGAGATCGACATGTTGAACACCACCCGCCCTCTATGTGGCAAACTGTTGCGAACTGTTGAGACGAAATGGCGCGGCGCTAAGGAGAGACCCAGGTTTTGAAAATCCACCCGCCCTTCCATCCGTGAAGGTGTTGCGAACTTTGAGATGTTTGTGTGCGGCGCTAACACGAGATCGACATGTTGAAAACCACCCGCCCTCCGTCCTTGCAGTCAGGCTTCGGGACCAGAAGTGGTAATGATGTCTGAGGCGACACGCGCGGCCCGCCCTACCAAAACTTCTGGGTGTGCGACAGGGGGGAATTGCAGTCAGCCTGCATAGTAAGGATGGGCAACCTTCCCAAGGCTACCCTTGCATCCTTGCCTCCTCGGTCCATCCTTCGCCGCTTTCGCTGGCCGCGTCCCGCTCGAAAAGCTTCGAAATGGGCGTCCAAGGCCCTGGCATCCTTATCGCGCATCCTTATTATACCGGCTGACTGTAATTATCTGGAAAATTGATATAGGTGGAGGAGGAGGAGGAGGAGCAGGAGGAGGAGCAGAAGGAGGAGCAAGAGGAAGGATGAGGACGGGGATGGGGACGACAACGAGGAGGAGGAGGAGGAGGAGGAGGACCAGGACGAAGACGAGGATGAGGACGATGAGTAGGCGTTAGGTAAGGAAGGGAGGACGAGGCTGGGAAGGACGAGAAAAGACAGTCTGGGGCGGAGGGGCGGGGAAGGAGGCGGATCCTCCTCCTTCTGCTCCTCTCCTCCTCTTCCTCCTTCTCCTCCTCCTCCGCCCCCGCCTTCTCCTCCTCCTCCTCCTGCTCCCCATCCTCTGTCCATGTCATCCCTCATACGAGCAATGCCGAGTCCTATACTATCCTCTCCTGTCGTATCCTCGTCCTCCTCGTCTCTCTCTCTCTCCTCTTTCTCCTCCTCCTCCTCCTCCTCCTCCTCCTCCTCCTCCTCCTCCTCCTCCTCCCCCTCCTCCAGCCTCCCCCCCTCGTCCCCACTCCTTTGCCCGCGGCGCCGCCGAGGTGATGGTGCGGAGCAGGGGCCGGTTCCGCCAGGGAAGCCCGCCTGCGTGGGAGGACAGGGAGGGGCGGCTTGCGAGTGCGGGGAGGCCTCCGGGGCCCACCCTTCGGTGTGCGCGCGTCCGCGTGTGTGTGTGTGTGTGTGTGTTTGTGTGTGTGTGTGTGTGTGTGTTTGTGTGTGTGTGCGTGCGTGCGTGCGTGCGTGCGTGCGTGCGTGCGTGTGTGTGTGTGTGTGTGTGTGTGTGTCTGTGAATGTGTGTGCGTGTCTACCGCTTGCACTTTACAGTTTGCGACGTCCCCTACACTGTGCCTTCGACAATGTTCGATCGCACTTAGTACTTCCACCTGCTGCCCTCGCTTGAGGACCCTTTTCGCCGCCGACTTCAAAGTGTGTGTGCGCCCGTGGTGCGCATGCACCTCCTCCCCACCGTGCAGACTCTCCGCCTTGGCCCTCGGGCGCACCGCTACTTCAGGATGACGCTTGGCCGCCTCGTTTTCCTGCACGCTTGTATCCTTGCGTCTGGGCGTATTCCTCGTGCGCGCTTCGCTTCTGCGCCTTCTTCTGCGCGCGACTGGCTACTCAGTCTACCCATCTGCTACGCTTGGCGGACTTCGACTCAGCATGCCCTGGCTTCGTGCGCACTTGCCACGGTGCCGCCAGATTGCCGCTGCGGGACAAAGTGTGCACGTGTCCCTCTGTACGACGACTTGCATCCAGGTGGGATTGTTGCTGAGCTTGCCCCTCCTCGGCCTTCGCTGCGCTGACGTCACTCGGCTGTTGGAGGAACGAGGTGTGCGTGCTGTTCCAGCTCGCTGGTGCCCCTTGGGCTCCCAGACCTCCTGCGCCTTTCTCTATTACGCAGGCGGGGTCCCCGGAGCTCTTGGCCCGCTCCCCAGGGGGCAGGCCTCATTCCCGCCGGGGGCAGGTCCCGGCGCCCGGGGGGTCCCGCCTGTGTGCTTCGCCGTCTCTGGCAAAGTGCAGGCTTGTTTCGAAAGAGATGGTGGGCCTGCACGCGCCAGGCAGCATGCCGCCCCCCCGCCGTCCCTGTCAGAAACCAATGTCGAGACAATGATCAGCGATGGAGGGGCGGCCGCACATGATCTAGATGTTGGTGCAGAGTGCACTGAGTGTGTTTCTTGCCAGGGCTGGCGGGGGGTGCTGGCACTGCGTGCAGCAGGCGATATGCTGACACCCCTGCCGTACCGGCCAAGGACCGATGCCAAGTGATCGCGGGGCGTCCGCGCATGATCTAGATGTCGGTCCAATCTGTGCTGCGTGCAAGGGATGGTGTTGATTGGCAATGTCGCTGGTTTGTCGCTGGTCGGGTGAGGGGGTGTTTTCTTATGACGGACAGGGGTGAATTCCTCCTCGAAGGTGGTGACGGGGGTTGGAAGAGGAAGCGCAACAAAAACACCTACGACCTGCAGAGCCGTTGGGATTCGACGCCTGCGGCGTTCTTCTTCAGAGCCTCGCAGCCTGCCGGCGACCCCGCCACTTCACTCTTATCCGCAGCTGTGGGGGCTCTGGTTGTCTGAAATGAGAAGTCCCGGGTGCAGCCCTCCTGGAAGGTGAGGGTCCCCTGCCCCCCCCCCTCTCTTTCTGTTCTCCCTCCTCCGAGCCTCCCGCGGGCAGGTTCGAGGTCTCGCACTCGTTCCGCGTGGTGCTCGAGGATCGGCTCGGACATGGCGTGCGGCGGCCGTCGCCGTCGCCACTGTCGTCAACCTCTGCCCCCTCCTCATCCTCTCTCTCCTTCTCTTCCTCCTCCGCCTCCTCCTTTCTCCTCCCTCCTTTCTCTTTCCCTGCCTCCTCACTCCCACCCCTCTCCCTCGGCTCGTTCCTCCCTCCTCCCGCCGCGGGTTCACTCCCCCGCCCCTCCTCCGCCTTCTTCCCCGCCCCCCCCCCCCCCCCCCCCCCGCCCCCGCGCTCGCCCCCCGCCGTCGCCTTCTCCCGGTGAGCCCTGTGCTTGGTCTCGGTCGTCGCCCTCACGGTGTACTCGCCGCCCTCCACCTGCCGGCCATTCCTCTGTTCTTGGGCAAGCCGCGGAGCGAAAGCTCGCAGCGTCACAGCCGGAAGATTTCTTGCAGGCACTTCGGCGGCAGATCTCAGCCGGAAGTTGTGCTGCAAGCAGTGAGTCCCCGTTGATGTGTGCACCTGTGTCCCACGTTGAGGTCGGGCATATCCCCCGACAGGCGGATTTTGGGCGACAAATGAGAAATACCCCCCGAATGCCCACAAACACGAGAGAAAACAAAAAGTAGTTCTCAAACAATTTTTGGATTATGTTTGAATATCCCTCCTGCAGAGGGACATGCGGAACCTCACCAGAAGCAGAGCCTGCACCAGCCTGCTCAGCAGCGGGAACAGGAAAAAGGACGAACGGGCAGGCAAGAGTGGTGAGGCTGCCTGCACGCGGGTGGGCCACTGGGGTGGCGCTTGGGTATCGTCTCGTCCCTCACCATTTCAGCCCCCAACAGTGGCCCTGTCCCTGCCGCGCAGGCCCAGAGTCGGAAAGGCAGACATTCTTCTGCGGTCTTCTCTCGCGTCGAGCTGCGCCGGCACACCGTGCCACATGTGCCAGAGTGCTGCACGGGCAACGCTCGCGCCCGACGTTCATCTGGGGTCCGCCACTTATCCGTTGATGCACTTAAGCCTTGGGGCCGCGACCGACAGCTACATTGACAGAGAGTGGCCTCTCCCCGCACATCCCCCCGCTGGCCCTGCTGGAGACAGCCATGCCAGACTTCGTGGAGGCACGGAGAGGATGAGGACGAGGCCCTCGGGGCTCTATACCAACCAGCACAGGCACAGCACATTGAGGATTGCAACAGAATGGGGCAAGTTCGCCGACGATCCCGACGACGGGATTGTCCCAGCTGGGCCCCTTTTCATAATCTGCCACCTGCTACGAGGCGGCATGCGACCATATAATCCTGAAGAAGAGAAGGGCGCACAAACTGTGAGAGGAAAGGGGGTGCTGCCCCTCCTAGCTACTGCACGGCGGAGGTGTCCACCATGATGTAACCGACCACGATTGGTGATAAGCTCCAGCTCCCTGCCCACGGACGAGTGGACGCTCGGCAGCGTGATCGCCTGAGGAGTGCCCCCGCCCGCCATGCGCCTTTCAATGTGGTCATCTATGAAAATTTCGTCAGTCAGCACCGAATCCAGCTCCTGGACAAGGAGGCGGATATCGTCAAACACATCTCGCGGCATCAGGCAACGGCATCGCCGTTTTTTATATTCATTGTTTATAGCCGATTGGCGCAAGCATCTGCCCCCTCCCTTCCCCCGCCCCGTAGAGCAGATATGGACTGTTCTTGGCAGCTGCTTCGGGCTACTGGCCAGGACATCCTTGCCCCTAGTCTGTTTGCGCGACTGGTGGAAGCAGGCCCACTAGACACCGACCCACACCGAGAACCCCCCGCCCCCAAAGCTTCGACCAAGTGTCAAGAACCAGCAGTGAATGTCGCCCACGATTCCAGAAGCCTTCGCAGCACGAAGTAATTCCACCATCGCCTTAGTCTGTTGATGTCCCACCAAGATGTTGCTCGACCGTCGCCCTTGCGTTGGGTCTATTCCGCGCGGCACGTACGTCGCGCGCAGCGGATCTCCTCATATTCCGCCAGTGTCGTTGGCGGTCATGCCGCGCATCGGGTCCCAACTAGAAAGATCTGGCTCTACCCCGAACGCCAGCAGGCTTCCGCCGAACATTTTACCAACCACAGACGGCACACTCAATCGGCTTACAACAAGCTGGACATCTGCCTTATCTCGGTCTTCCTCAGGATCACCTTCGTCGGCCTGCTATCGCTCAGCTTAAACGCTACATTGCAGAAATAATGTTTCCATGATGGCAGGTCAGTGTCCGATTCAGGTCCCGCGTGAAACTGAATGCAGCGCCGAGTCGCGCCATCCTTGGATTCCCTTAGCCTTCGTCGCGCCTTGGTTGTGACCTCTAACCCGGACGACTGGTGGAATCGTCGGCACCGCTTGCTGCCCCCGCCCACCTGCAAAGTTCAAGTTTTACACCGCGTGCCGAGGGAACTTTCTGGCGGTCGTGCCCGCGGCGTGCCTGGTCGCATTCCCTGACAAGGCCCTCCTCCCGCAATTCCTCCGCCTCCTCGTGGGTCAACGGCGCACTGTTCTGCGCGAGCCAGTCTATGCGTCATTTCCCAGAACTGTTCAAATTCTTGGCCAGCGAGGACCCAGGTCTGCCGCCATCGTCTGTCCGCGAGGACTCACATCGTCGAAGTGCTGGTCCTAGAGTCAGTGCACCGCTGATGGGGCAGTGCTACATACCGCCGAATGCATTCGCTGCCGCTGCCGGGCCAGCTTTTGCAAGGGTTCGACTCCGCCCAGACTGCCATGTCCGCGTGGCCTGTGGCAAAGTTATCGCGCTGCAGCCGGCCTTGGAAAGTACGGTGAGGCTGCAGGCGTTGTTCTTGTTCCAATGCATTGGTTTGGGCGTCCGATAGTATGTCCCATGCACGTTTGCTAGTGTGTGCCATGTCGCATGCACGTTGCATAGTATGGCCCATGCTTCCATCGTGTAAAGATGGTGCGCGTTTGCTCGGTCGTCTGCGATATTGCTCTGACGTTGACGGCGCGGCGCCAGGCCTCCCGCGCCGCTTACGGATTGGATCAAACACATGTTTCCGTTTTTTGACAAGCGCACAGTATCCCTGGTGCTCGAGAACGCCCCCTGCCCAGCGGACTGCCGGGGTGCCAGTGAGAATGCCGCCTGGACCTCCACGCGCCATTCTGGCGACCCGATGACTGGCGTGCCGTGCTTCTCCAACTCCTGAGTGAGCGACTCCGAACATTGCCCTTTTTGGACTGATCATGGCGCCGCTCTTGTGAGGTTTGCCGTTTATCGTGGAACCGCGAGCCGACATCGCGACGTTCGTGATGTCTACCAGACCGCCGCAGGTAGGGATGTCATGAACAGGCCGTCGTCAACAAACGAGGCATTAGCGAGCTCTGGCACTTCGCGCCCTCGAACATCGGCGCGAGGTAGCTCGGCTCGCAGCATTCTCTTCTTCTCAGCAATCATCGCGAGCGGCCTGGCGCGCGACGGGTGGGGGCTGCCGTCGGTCAGCGATGACCTCGGGCGTGGTGCTCTTCGAGATCTGGCGACGTGGTCCGAGTCGCGCGTCCCCAAAGGCGTCGGCAGATGCCCTTCGACGAGCCGGGGGAGTAGGTGCGGTTCCGACTTCAACTGCGTAAGAACCGAGGGCTGCACCAATCGAATGGGGGAATTGGGGCCGCGCTGATCGGCGGATCGTGGGGCGCCAGAGGGCGGGCACCATAATGAAATGCCGCCTGCAAACCGACCAAGTCAGGTGGAACCGACCTCTCGGCCCCCTGCCCGCTTTTGACGCGGGGCGCGCGCTGTTTTCTCTCAGCAACGCAATCAGGAAGTTGGCGTGTTGGTCGCGTAGAAATCGCCACCGCGCCTTGCCCGCTGCCCCGTTTAGCAAGGTCGACCGGTAGTTCTCCAGCGAAGCAGGGTTGCCGGCTCCTTTGAGAAGCGGAAATGCGACTCAGGCTTCCGCATCAGTGGTTTCTGTTGGCACACTGCAATCTTGCGCGTTGAATGTGCATGTAGACTGGCAGAAGCACGCGAGCGACAAGATAGCATCTGACCACGCGTGAAATCAACGCCTGGAGGTTTGCGGCGACGAACTCGAGCACGCATGTTCGCTACCACCGCAGCGTGATGGAGGTTGTATGGCACAATGTGACTAGCGGGGCAGTCGTGGCTCCTGCGCCAGCGCCTCCGCGTCCTCCGTCTTGGCGCAATGGGCGATGATGGCCCGGGACTCCTCCTCTGTCTTCTAGGCTTCCTCGCCTTCGTCATTGTGCGCGAGTGGGCGCTTTCCAAGCTGGCCTGGCCTGCCACCGCGTCGGCGAATCGCCTCGAGGGCCCTCCATTCACCATGGGGAACTCCGGCCTGCGCAAGCTTCTCCATCTTCTGCCCGAGACGATCGACGCGGGCGCCCCTGGCGTCTCGCGCCGATCTCGCGACCGCCAAGCTCGTCTTTGGAAGGGGTGCTCGGAACATTTGCGTGACTTCTTGGTTTGTGTGATGCTTAGCTGCAGAAACCTGACGCTCGGCTCTCGGTGCGTTCGCGGCGCCCGCGCATGTATCATCTGCCGATGGAAGAGAAGAGGGTCGCGAAGATGCTGGACAAGAAGGGCACCCGTGGAGGTGGCGGCTCGGGGCGATTTGGAAGCCCGCTCGGAGCCCTGCGGGCGCGCCTTCTCAGCGTGACCACTCCCGTGGTCAGCTCGCTGACGCATTCCTTCAACGGCGTCAGCCTGTCGGCCTCAGATCGCGTTCGGGCTGCGCCCCCTGCGATTTGACCGCGCGTTTCCTGGCGGGCGTTTGCGTCGACCGACCGACGATGGCAACGAGGTGTTCATCGTGATTGTCCTGCGCGGGTCATCGCGCCCCTCGTCCTCGAGCTTCGCCGTGTCCAACTCAGCCCAGGGTGTCTTCGCGATGGACAGCGCGTGCGTAAGTGCACTGGTAATCGCCGCAACCGCAGGCAGACGGTCGTCTGATTCCGCGCAGGTGTCCAGCGCGTTATCTACCCAACTGCTCACCGCCATGCCGCGCAGCTCTGAAGACGCTAAGATATTGCCCAGGCGATGCTGACTGACGCTCGAGCGCGCACGCGCGAGCCCCTCTCGTGTCGGTTGAGAAGGTTCTCCACGAAAAGGTCGTGAGTCGCTGGGGGATGGCAGCGCAGGGCCCCAGGGTTGTCGTCGAAGTCACTGGCGCAGTAGGCTGCGCGAAAGCCGCTGTCCGCACGTTCGATGAACTGTCCAACCAAGGAACGATGCTTGCCAGGGCCGAGCTCTGCGCTAACTTCGCCAAGTGCGAGGCGGGGGGGGCCGCCGCTGCTGGCTGCGTTCGAGATTCCCCCGCCGGACCTTGTAGTCCAGGCTTTGCGTGGCCGAAGTTGGGCGCGTAGCTGACATGGGCGATCTCCTCCTGCCCGAGGATTCGCGCTCGCGCGACAAGGAGACGCGGGTCGGTCCGAAGCTGTCGCGCGCCCCCCTGGGCGAACGTCCCGCCGCACTCAGGGCCTGCGCCGTAGGGCGTGGCAGCGTTGATGAGCAAGCTGCGCCCCGAAGTTCCGTCGCCCCCCTGTTCCAGATATTACAGAGTCGGTCAGTGCCTTGGGAGCCACCTCGCGGGGTGACTCTTGGTAACAGACGCTGCGTGCGTTCGCGCTTTGCAGCTGTGCTCGAAGTAGACGGGGTCGAAGGTGGAGCGCCGTCGGTGCGGATTCGATGTGCGCCGCCGCTCTCTGAACGTTGAAGGTCGCTGCCTTGGGGTCAAGCTAGTGCTCGACCTCCCTGGGGAATACAGCGGGATGCTATTCCCGCAGATGGTGCTGGCGCTCTGGTTCGACCGGCGTTCCGTCTGCATCTGCGCGTGGGTCGGCATCTCGGTCTTGATGGCCAGGTTTTGACAATGCGCGGCAACCCCACTTGTCAGATCAGCGCAGCACGGCGACCAAAGGATGAGGAAGCTCAGGGGGGGGGGGGGGCTCCTAGCGTTCTGAGCCGCGACGTCCTTCAAGTCGTTCCGCGGGTTCCCATCGGGGGCAGCAGTGCATCGCCGATTCAACTGTCCATGCCTCCGTATCTCTTCTTCGTGCGTATGCGATGCGAATGCTGCAAGGGGCTAGTGGCGCGCTGTGTTTGAAGTAGCGCGCGCCAGCGTTGGCAGGCAATCGCGCTCCAGATCCGCCCCAATTCCATGAGCCAGCTGCATCGAGCGCAGTGGGGCCCAGCGCGTTCCAGCCGCCCCCGTGGTGGCGCCGTTGATATCGATGTCATCTCCGTAGAGCGACGTCGAGTCCACCGCGGGGGCGCTGGCGTGGCCCTCGAAGCGGCCCACCTGCTCGCTAGACGCGAGGGCGCAGAAGACCATGCCAACTCCGAAGGCTCATCCCCCCAGTGAGTGCCGTCGGAACGCGCGCGCCTTGTTGATCGCGTTGGGGCACGGCCTCGCCATTTTGTGGCGCCGGGCGGGCGTGCTGGTGCACGTTGAAGCTCGCCGGGTCGCGAAGAAGCTGAATGTGCTATCCCAACCTTGAACGTTGGGCTGAGATTGGCAATGACACTCTCGTGTGAACTCTGAGACGCGCGGGATGGGGGGCGTGGCGTGGCCCCGCCACTTAGCTCCGTATCGCTCTCGGTATGCAAACGCCAAGGAGAATAACGTGCCCCCGAAGGCGACGGCGAAGACGGGATCGCCTCTACTCGTACGGGATCGACTCTACTCCTACATTTCAGAACAGGAAAACACATGCAGCACAAAGGTTTTTCCCTACCTAGGCTCTGCCTAGAAGGGTTCTACTCTTTGTGCTTAAAGGGACCGGGCAGTGGACCCCGCCCCGGGCGGTTCCCCCGGCATCCGCCCCGCGGTTCCCCCAGCTGCGTCTTCTTAGCTTCGCGTTGCTTATCTCATCTTAGCTTGGCTTGTTTCATCGTAGCTTAGCTTAGTTTCATCTTAGCTCAGGTTTATCTGAACTTAGCTTGCCTTCATCTTAGCTTCGCTGAGCTTTATCATAGCAGATCACAGCATCGCATAGCGTATCATAGCCCAGCGCAGCACAACATATCATATCATAGCCCAGCATAGCATAGCATAGCGCAGCATAGCATGGCATAGCATAGCATAGCTCAGCACAGCACAGCATAGCACAGCGCAGCACACCATATCATAACATAGCATAGCAGAGCACATCAGAACATATCATAGCGTAGCATGGCATAACATCGCGCAGCTTATCATAGCATAGCATAGCATAGCACTGCATAACATAGCATCGCATAGCTTAGCATAACTTAGCATAGCTTAGCATAGCTTAGCATAGCAAGTAATGCTGTTTTCCTAGGGGCTCCTACTTCTAGGTAGGGTCGCACTGGGGTGGTTACTGATTTTGCCTTGGAAGGGGGTGTCGTTGAGAGGGTGCTTGGCACGGATGCGGGGATCGGGGTGGCGTCGGCGTTTGGAACTGGCGGCTTGCGTGGCAAATGCCTTTAGCTGGCTGCATTTCTTTGGGGCGCGTGACGGGTGGAAAGGCCGCTCGCCAGCAACTGGCAGTCCTCTGCCCGCGTGCCAGAACATTTCGTCGCACGCTCGCAACGGGGCGTGGGAAAGGGGGCTCGGGAAAAGAGCGCGAGCCTCCTTCCCAAGAAGTCCCTTTGCCAGGCAGCAAGCAAGTTTGTTCTATGCATATGCCGCGCGCCCAGCCAGACGAACGAACAACTGTCTCGGCGCGCGCTGTTAGTTTCGCTTGCGCGCGTCCTGGCTTCCTTCCGTTGCTTCCTTCGCTTCTTTCTCGCCCTCCTCTTCCTTTTCCTCTTCCCGTGCTCTGCCTTGTCCCGCATCCCCTTCCATTGCAGTTCTGAGCTTTCACCGCGCGATAAAATCGCAACCCAAAAAGCGTTGCTGCGATTCCTTCGTGCGCCACGAAGTCTTGCGCAATTCCGTTGTACGCGGTCTGGTTGCATTGCTCGCCCAGGGGGCGCGCTAAGGAATCTCCCTCGCGTGCGATCCTCTTCGCCGGCCCCGCAAGAGCGCGCGCGAGTCCTTTGCGTAGCTTGTTTTCCCGCCTCGAGGAGCGCGCGGGACCTGGCGCTGCACGCGCCAGGCCGCGGCGCCTGGCAGTGCGATGCAGCTGCGCCGGATACCGCGCCCAAAACGATCCTACGTGGATTTCGGCACTTATGCCGAAATCGCGCTATGCCGAATCGCGCTGGCAGCTGGCCAGCCGCGACGCCGGCCCTACATGCCCGCGCGCGCTTCTGGGTTCGGCTGCCGCGACGCGTGCTGCTGTCGACGGATGAGCAAACTGACGTTGCATGGTGGTTTGGCTGTGCCAAACCACCATGTAATGTCTGTTGGTAGCGGAGTTTGGGATCTTGTCGCCTTTCGGCAGCGCTGCCACATCATGCCTTTTCAACTGCATCTCAAGAGCACGGCCGTGCGTCAACCTTGTTCGGATCGCCGGGGGTTTAGTGGCATGGGTGTACATGCGTTGCGCCGATGGTGGTGCCAGAACCGCTAGTGTGTGAAATTCCATTGTTTTTCTTTCTGGCTCCTAACATGATGCCTGGACGGGGTTACCTCTACTCCTGCGCCGGCGGGCGTGCCTCTCCTCAGCCAGGCTTGCGAGTATAATGCCCGAGCTGTCTGGGGGACTATCATGTCCGGCCCTGCCGGCGTCGACGCGTCGAAGGATTGTTTCGGAGAGAAGGTGGCCGGAGGGCGGCTTGGGCAGACCAGATCGTCAGCTGCATGCGCATTTTCTGGCGTCGACAGCGGGGCAACGCGACGCCGCGCCGGCGGCGCCAGCAGGTGCAGGACTTCGTGGTTGCGACGTGCAGCCGGTGGCATTTTCAGACGTGCTTCGAGGGGTCTCCGGTTGGGCCGGTGACAAAAAACGGTTGCGCACGGCACCGGGTGAGGAGGAAAACGCGCTCGCGTTTCGACGCGGATAGCCAGGGGCAGAGGTGTTCGTGGAAACTGTGGCCGCAAAGGTCTCTTGGGATGTCTCCGCGAAGCGGTTCCTGTACGCCGCGGATTCGCAGCTCCTGCGTCAAGTGGCATGTGTCTTGCGCATTCGCACGAATCCAAGTGCGATCCCCTCTGCGCGCGGATCCTCAACAGGATCGTTGGTCACGTGTCTGACGGCATTCGCCCGCCGCGATTTCACAAAGAGTCGGCGCAGTGGTGGAGGCGGTGCCACCACGAGGTCGTGGACGGGCTGGCCGATTGCACCATGGATCGGCGGAGTACGTGGCGCAAGATCTTCGGCATCACCCCGGACATCATGAAGTGCTACATCGTGGTGCAGACTGACGGTGGCATGCGCGAGAATGACTGCGCCGCTGCCGCGTGGATCATCGGTTTGCGTGCCAGCGTGGACGGAAAGGACGTGTTCGAACCGTGCATCATACATGGGGTTTTCGTGGAGTTACTTTGTGCGGCATTGGGGCAGAGGCGATGGCCTTGGGCGAGGCATCTTCTGAGGTAGCCAGGCTGCTCTCTTAGAGGCGGTGCGAAATCGGAAACTGTGGTCTCTTGCGCTTCATCAAATATCACGATGTAGGCCTTCCATGGCCATCGCGATGACGAGGAGTACCATCTCCAAGTTCACAATGATGCTGGTCATCGCGATGCTAGGATTGGTTTTGACCTCCAGGACCAATGCAATGACGCGCAAATGAGCCAACGACAACGACCCCGGGCAAAAAGATAGCTGCCTCAGCGCGCAACGCATTGTGAGCGCGCAGGTACAGTGGTGGGTGTATGCTTTGTGTCCGCCGGGTCGCCAGGCCCCGCCCGAACTTGGCCCTGGCCCCCCTCTGTCAGGGGCGCGAACTGGAATCTGAAACATCACTCGCGGGCCAGCGGCAGCTAAAGATAGTCCTCTTTGCGGCGTGGCGATATGGTTGCGTCTGCGTTCCGCTCGCAGATCTTCCCAAACTGCGCTGTCTCCATCGTGGACGTCCGTCACTGCGCTGCCGTCGCAGCCTCTACAGCCTCTTTTCTCGTGGGCTTCGCGGAATCGCCTGTGTACTGTGGCTCCCACAGGCTTGGAACCCGTGTATGGCTGTTACCGGTCCTGCAGACTGGAGCCCAAACGGCTACAGAGAGGAATACGATACAATGATCATCCCTCCTACCTACCCCTTGCGCCTCCTGTGGGCCGTGCCTACTTTCGTGCCGGCAGGCCAATATTCGTAAGCCAACTTCAACCTACTGCCGCTTGAGAAGGAGAAGCGCTGGGGACCCAGTGCGCCTGAGGCCTGGGCTGAGGCGGGGTCGGTGCCCGTGGCCCGGCCTGCGATGCTCGCCACCTCTCTGGAGCGTGCGGGGGAAGGGGTGAGCTCGCAGGTGCACTGGGCAGAACGACGCGAAGATCGGGACAAAATCGGATCGGGATAACTCGAAATCTCTGAGAATCGGCGGGTTTGGAGGATGTATTGGGCGCCGCGGCCGCTCCAGAGCGTTCCGGGACGCTCTGAGAGCGCTCCGGAACGCTCTGGAGCGATTTATCCCGATCCTAGCCCTGTTTTATTGGGCTGGGGTGACCACGGTTTTTTTTTGCGCGGCATCTTGAGCAACGACCGGTGTGTGACTTCTCGACCTGGGAGCAGGTGTAGCATATCCGAAGCTGGTGCGGAACGAAGTGAGCGCGATGGGGATCTGGTTGTTGTGCCATCATCTTTTCAATTCCTGGTGTTCGTTCTCGCCGATCTTCGCAATCAAGTCGTCGTCTCCGAATTCGCGTGTGCCCTGTCTGCCGGCGCATTCATTGCTCCTGCGCATTCCCTGTCGAGCTGCTTCTTGTTTAGGGATAGGCTAGCCATTTGTTGTGTCGCTCGAATAGACTGAGCTTCATCATCTTCAGTTCCTCGTCTGCTTCGTCTGCCTTCGCCTGACGCCTGAGGAAGCTCGCCAACCTGCTTCTGCCTCCCCTCAGCCTTCTTGGGCTCCGCTGCCATCTCGACCTGAATGCCTCCCGAGCGTTTTCTACCTTTCGATCTTGAGTTTCATATCGAACTCTTCTTCTGGGTACTGTATCTCCTGACCTCCTTGACGACGAAGTGCTTCAATGTGCTCCCCTTCCGTGCGTGAATACCTTCTCTGGGACGCCCCGAGCTCATGCCGAAGGGCGGCCACCCGTGGACCCCCGAACCCAACTGCTGCATGAGCCTCCGCTTCCAGCCGGGCGAGTTTGATTGCCACCTTCTTGTTTTGATGATCGTGATGTTCAGCAGCCTGGCCACTTCTACTACGTGTGCGTCGTCCCCCCCCCCCCAGGTGCGACGCGCGCACCGAGAAATCTTATAGTACATGCGTCGTGGAGGGCGCTTTCTGGCCGCACCGCTCGGGAAACGATATACTACAAGATGGGCCTACTATATGTTCGGGTTGGACGCGCGCCTCCAAGGATGACATCTAGTATTAGTATGTCCCTGTGCGTCCCATGGCCATGGCCATCCACCTCCATACTGACTGACGTAAGCCTGGTAGCAGATCACTCCCGTCTTGGTGGTGGGTCTTGGCCCGTGCCAGCGCTGCCGCCTGCGCCGCGGTAGCTGGCGCATCTGGTGTGCCAACCTTCGGCGTAGGAGCTGGAGTGGAGGCAAGCGTTGACGGCGACATTCAAAATTGCATGTGATGTTGCCGCTGCCGCTGCTGCTGCCGAGTCCTTGGCTTCGTGGTTCTGTCATCGGTCGGGGGAAACGTTATCTTGGACTGTTCCACCCCCCTTATTCAAAACGTCATGGTCGTACTCCAGCGTGCTTCTCTCATAGATGAGGTCAACTTCCAACTCAACTTTGTTATTCTCAGTGGCAGCGAATCGGTCCAGAGTCCTGCTGATACGATCCTGAGCTTCGCGTCGTTGAACTGCCAAGGGTTTCGCCTGCCACATCATCAGCTTCAGACCAGACAGCTCGTGCTCCTGTTTGTTTAGCTTGGCTCCCGATCTTATCCTTTGGACCAGCAGGTTGGCGACAAAGTCGCTGCGGTCATTGACCATGTTCTCGTACGACCGCATCTGCGTCAGGATTTCAGGCGCCGCCACATAGATGGGTTCGAAGCGCATATTCGAGCGTACACAGATGTTCCTCACTCATCTTTGCTCTGGGTTACCTCCTGCTGCTGCTTCATCAGGTATGCCATCTCCTGTTGATTATTCGGGTAAGGCTGCTTGCGCCCAATGCCCCGACATGACCAATCACGCCCTCGATGTTCAGTGCAGCAACGAGCATATACCGTCCGTCCAGGAACGTTACGAAGCCGAGTGGTGCTGGTACTTCTGCTGCTGCCGACGGCCCGCCCTGGGCCTGCAAGAACCCGTGGTGCTCGCAGAGCACCACCTTGGCCTTCGCGATGCGCCGCAGAACCCCATGCACCAGCTCTCTGGCGCCTCGCGCGCCCGTGCCAGGCGGGCTCTGGCCTCTTGACCGTCGGCCAGGCCTCTCCAGCCGCGGGCGGGCGCCAGGAGGGGTCGGCGGCGCCTGCATAGGGGGACGGTCCTCTCCCCTGCCCCCCCGCGCGAGCCCTGTGGCCGCGCCGCGCCGCCGCCGCCCGCCATGGGCACCCGCGGTCCCCAAGCCCGAGCGGGCAACGGCTACCTCCTGGCCCTCTTCCTCCTCCTCCTCCCTCTCCTTCTCCTCCTCGTACTCCTTGTCCTTCCCCTCCTCCCCCATCCACCCCTCTCCCCTTCCTCCTCCCCCCTGCCCCCCATATCGCGCGTCCATTCCGCGCGGGGCCTGAACGCTGTTCGGGGTGGCAGTCGCCCGTGGGGTACGTTCACAAACCCTCCTCGTCTTCCTCTTCCTCTTCCTCCTGCCTTGTATGTTTTCTCCTCCCCCGCCTTGGCTTTTTCTAATTCCTCCTCCTCCTCGTCCTCGTTCTCGTCCTCCTCCTGTTTTTCTCTTTTTCTTCTTCGTCCTCTTCATCCTCCTCCTGTTCCTTTTCTTGTTATTCTTCCTCCTCCTCCTCCTCCTCCTGTTCCCCTTTCTTTTCCTTCTCCCCCCTCGCCGCGGGCGGGAGTGGGCAGGGGAAGGCGTCAGGTCTGGGAGAGCAGGAGCGCCCTCCGGACCTGCCGCCGGTCGGCTCGAGGGATGTCTGCGGGATGCCCTGCGGCCTTTTGGATCCCAGCCTCGTGGCAGCCGCGCGGCGTCGAGTTCCGTGGTCGTGCACGTTCCCCTTCTTTTTTCCGTAGGGCCACCACGGGGGTGCGAAGTTGGTCGCGCTTCGCGGTCTGGGTCATTTGAAGAAAGATGTCAGAGTGAGGCGCGAGTCCCTCAGCTTGTTCCGGGGAGGGGGGGGACCGAAGTTGATCGCGCTTCTCCCTTCGCGGAGCGCGAAGCGCGGAGACTGTTGCCCCAGAGGCTGTCTCCTGGGGGCGTCATGGCACCGCGCCTCGGAGTGCTTTTGTTGCGCCTCGCCGGGAGGAGGAGGAGGAGGAGGAGGAGGAGGATGAGGAGGAGGAGGAGGAGGGAGGAGGAGGAGGAGGGGCTCCTCGGAAGGTCTCCTGGCCATCGAGCCAGCTTTCTTAGAGCCATCCAGGCGCTCCTGAGAGGGCCCCTGCCTCTCGAGGGGCTCCTCGCCTTCTCTTGGAGGGCCGCTGCCCCTCTCGCGCAACCCCCGAGCACGCTCCTGAAGGGCCGCCCCGACGTCCGCAGACAAGATTTGTTCCATGCGCGTCCCCGAAGTCAGGAGTGACATATGGACGTACACGTACATGAATCCACTTTGGTTTCGAGGGTACGCATTGCGCGAACGTGCGTATCACGCGGGCGGCCTCGCGGATTGGGGGGGGGGCGTGATCATGTACGTGGTTGGGCGCGTACGTCCTCTGTGGGCTCCCTGCAAAGGTCCCGACCCCTTCCCCGGGGCCAGCCTCAGCCCCAGATCTGTTCCCACTGGCCCCGAGCCCCACAGCTGGCGCGGGAGCCCGACACACCGAGGGACGGCGCGCGGACTGAACGACTCGCGCCGTCGGATTTTGTCTGGGCCCCCACACAGGTGCTCGCACTTGGAGGTCCTCGGCTCTCTCGCTCGTGAGTTGCTTGGGCAGGTCGAGGATCCGCTCGTCGCCGCCCGCTGCCGCCCGCTGCCGCTCCGGCGGGGGGTATGTCGAGGACTCGCCGCGGTGCCGCCCGTGGCCGCCCCGTGGCCGCCTCGGGGGCGATGTCGAGGATTCGCCGCGCAGCCGCCAGGCTGCGGTCTGTTGCCGCTTCGGGGGGTCTGTCGAGGACTCGCCATGTTGCCGCCTCGTTGCCGCCTCGTTGCCTTGCCACCACGTGGCTTTTGCACTTCGAGGGTGCAATACGGTCAGAGTGTCTCTGACTCGGCGTGTCGCGCGGCCCGTTCGCGCCCGCTTCGGCGCGACACGCCATCCACGTCCCAGTCCGCAGCGTCAATGCCTCGAGCCTTTCCTTGCAGCCCGCCCCGCGGAGCGGAGCGACACGCCATCCGCTCGCAGGGCATAGCGTGTCGCTGGGGCCGCCGCCGCCGCGACACGCTATCCAAGAGTTCCCGACCGTAGCTCCCTGCTTGGGGTACACGTCGGCAAACATTTGTTGTTCAACGCGACGTCGGATCCGACGGTCGAGGCTCTTCTGCTCGGAGGCCCCGCTGCGGGCGCAGGGCCCACCGCC